ACATCACATGCAAGATAATCTGATTTGAAATAGGACCTGAGACAAAATTAATTGCAATATTAACCAAGCATAGATATTTCAGTGAAACACAATTTGAGGATCTGAACACCAGTTCTAAAATATGTTGACCTTTAGATTTCTGTTGGTTTATCAATAGTGTCTATTTCCTTTATATTAAAATTACCACAACTTCAAGCAAATTTTGCAATAAAAAGAAAAGTATGGAAAGTTATGGCTGAAGTTTTACTCTCAGTGTGATAAAAGGTTCCAGATTTCTTTCTTGTTCTACTACATAATAATACCTTCTATAAATAATTACCTCCTTAATGTGATGTTCAATGGTTTATAAATATAATACTCAACCTATATCTGAGAATAGCAGCTAAAAGTAACATTTGGAATTCAGTAAAAAATCAAGATTTTTGCTGACCTTTTCCTCTCTCTTTCATCTCATTCTCCTTGCGTTCTCGCAAGAGGCGCTGCAATTCATCAAACTTAGAAGGAAAATCGTTAAACATAACATCCAAAACATCTTCACTTCTTACTGCAGTCAGGCCTGAAATAGAATATTTGCAAATTAAACAAAGACTAACCAATTTTGAAAACTTGCTCCCTTGACATCTATCAGAATATCATATTCTTTGGAAAGAAGAAAATAAAATTCTCCCCTTACTGCTATTTCAACCTTTACAACTTACCCAAATCACATGCCATTTCTGACACCAAGCCTTTCTCTTTCAGGTAATCACGTTCCTGCATGTCTATGGGTCGTCTGCGCAAGTCCGGATATTTGCGCTTGAAGGACATTATTCCCAAATATTGAGAAATCTGCTCCTGAATGAAATAATGTTCTCCTAATCCTTCCAAGGGCCATACATACTCTACAACCTTTTCTGCTGTGAAAGCTTCAGTGCTAGAAAAAAAAGAAAAAGCTTCAAGCAAATGGGACCAAATATTATGTGAACATTAAAATATTCTCAAGTCTCTGACATATAAAGTAATAAATGTAATAACTCTAAATAAGGAAAATCTGACAGAAAAATGGCTAATTTACCAATCTCCATTTCTTAGGCAGGATGTTTTTTCTTCCTACTAATATACTGTAAAAATTCCTAATTCACTAACAAGTATTAGGGGAAAAAAATCCAATTTTACAATAAAAATAACTAATGGTAATAATAATAACAATGACATCGTCAACAATAACAATGGCAATATATTACCACGTCATTAAAATACCTGCACTATAATAGCAATTCTCACCTTTCTGGAACAATGACTTCACAGCGGAATCTGCGAACTTCCCTCTTTGACATAGATCCCTGTGAATCCTCATCCTGGGGAAGGTTACTGTCCATCCTAGTATCCTCATCCAACACTGATGGATCTGTTTTGTATAAACCTTATTTCATGTTTAAGTGAAAGTAAAAACCAATGTGAACTATTATGAAATGTTAAAAGTTTTGTCCCTACCAATATTCTTCAAATCACAACAATATTCACAATGATATAACAGTATAGTCAAAGTAAATATATTATGGTTCTTATATATACAGAGTATCTTTAACAAGATAATAAATATAATATACCTGGTTTCTCTTTCCTGAATTTTCCTCCTTCACCTCGTGGACGTTCATATGACCTCTTCTTTCGCTTCCTCCTAGTTGATGGTGTTACAATCTCCTCCTCTTCTTCTTTCATTATCTTCTCTTTACTGTCCAATTTTTCCTCTTGAATTTCCTTCATTTTCTCTCCAATAGACATATCATTGCTTTCCTCATCACTCTTTTGTATTGTATCATCTTTTTTGTCTTCGGATGCCAAATCATCCATTAACTGGTCCTCAACAGTGGCTCCCCCTTCTGTTTCAGGTTCAAAGGGTAGTGTGTTTTGCCTTTCAAGAATCTTTCCCTCAAAGGAAGCACTGTTCACTGGCATCTCTTCCATGCACACTCTCTTGCTAACTGGTTCTTCAGCACTTTCAATTTCTTCATCCAGGGCCCTCTTTAATTTGACTCCAAAGGTATTTTCATCCTCCCCTTCTGGGACAGTCATCTCCTTGGTCTCCACCAGGGCATTGGTTTCACTTCCAGAGGATTCCATACCCTCTAGATCATCTTTTTTTTCCTCTTGAGCTTTCTCCTTAAACTCAGCCTCTGTCAGTCCTGTGCTCTCATCACTACTCAGTTTTAGTGTGCAGGTTTCCCCATCTTCTTCCACTGGTGATTTCACATTCTCTTCATGTACGACTGTTTTATCTTCTGATTCTACGCATGGCATCTCTTCCTGGTATTCTTCCGATGGGATAGCCTTCTCCTCATTATCAAAAGCTGGGTCATTACGGACTTCCTCTGGTTCTTTCTCATCAGGTTCTGGTGTTGGCTCTTGCTCTATAATCTGGGCTGTAAAAATAATACAATAATAAATACAATAATAATGGATGGAATGTGAAAGTTCAAGTCCATAACCAGTCATTGATCTGTATAAAAAGAGGTTTTCAGAAACTTTTTTTCACTTTTGGTCACAAAATATAAACAATAAAATAATGATAATAAAAAATATCAAATGATAATAGTAAAAAGACAAATAAATGACTCAATCAGACAGGATAAATGCTTTCTTGCCTTGTCAAAATAGATATTTAAAAACACAGTATGTATATAGAAGACCCTTTATTTCTTTTCCTGAAACTGTATCAAATGTTTTGTCTGGTGACAACACGACTATTTACTGTTAACCTACTAAATATTTAAAATCCCTCAAAACATCCTCAATAGCCTTGTCATGGAACCAGGAATGAAAATGTGTGAATAACATGGTCTAATCCATATATTATTTCTTTAATATTTAAAAAAAATCAGTTTCATCATAATTTTATCATACTATATTCTTTTAACCCTTACAAAAAAAATTTGGTCTGAGGGGCAGGTAACAAGAACATGCTGTCATGGGAAAACTTGACTGAGGGCCGGGGGTGACAGGAACTTGCCATCATGAGAATCCCGGCTGAAGGCTGGGGTAACAGGAATGACTGTCCATGAATCCACAATGCTCCTGGAGGGTGATGACACTTAGTGGGCATTTAGGAAAGGACTTTTGCATTATTTCCATCAATAAGCAAGTGTGGAATGTGCCATGTATGAGCCATGACTGAAAGAGCACTGGCTCCTGAGAGGACACTCTTTCCATGATCAGGATCCTATTCCTGCCTGCCGTGACTGGCACCACAGGTTGTATAACAGAAAATTTGATAAAAAAAAAAAAAAAAAAAAAAAAAAAAAAAAACACACAAATAACAATGCGTTATTGATATATTATAATTGCCCTGCATTATGGATCACCTAGAGAGATGATATGAGTCTGTGCAAGTCAAACAGTCTATTATCACCAGGATACTTAACCCAATGGTGACGGGTGAAGAAAACAAAAACAAAAAACTACTACGCTCTGGCGAACCATGGCAGCGAGAAAATAACAAGGCAAAGGGGAGATATAGAGTCTTGCCACTACACATGAATGTTCATGTGCACCTTTCTTTCAAGCCACACATCCATCAGAGTGGCCACTCAAGCAAGTCTAATGCCTCTACTTTGGCTACAAAATACAGACATTACAGGCAGTGAAGTAACTGGGGTCATGTATTCTCAGTTACACTGATATCATTTCAGTAATATCAGCTCTATTTTCTTTAAAATGTTTATTTTAAGAAAAAAACATATTTCTTTGTTTTTATTATACCAATAGTAATCAAAATGTGAATCTACAGATTCTTTAATAGCTGAAGGGAAACTGATATATCATGATAATAAGCCAAAAGCATGAAAAGAAACATACCTTTTGTATCTTGGATAACTTCTGACAATTCTGAAGACTTGTCCTCTTCAAGTTCCATAGACTCTGGTTCATCAGGAAGTTCAGGTATTGGAGAATTTTCCTTCTCCTCAATTGCAGCCTGCTCCTCTGGTGATTCTTGACTCCGGATTTCTTCAGCTAAGGCTTCTAGTTCCGAAGTCTCCTTTTCCTCAGCCTCTGTTGCCTGCTGGACTTCAGGAGCAATAGGTACTGAATCAGTTTCTTGGATTTCTGGCACTTCTGGAGCTTCGGGAGGCTCCACTTCCATTGGTTCTTCAAGCTCTTTTACAGGTTTTGTTTCCTCCACAATAGGTTCAGTTTCAGTCTTGGGATCCTCTTGCTGGGTTTCTTTGTAGGATTCTGGCAACTCTGGCAGACTGTTTTCATCCAGATCTTCTTGAGCATTGTCCTCTGAGGCTGAGGCTTCTGCCGAGGATGAGGAATAAGACACCAATGAGGAAAGGCCCTCATTTGAACGCTGAATGGGTAAAGCTGCAAGTTTGTCAGCAACTGGTTGGAATGTCTCTTTTATGGAGGAATCCATGCTACCCTGAGGAGGGCAAGACTCAGGCCTTTTCTTATCATCATCTATAGCCACATTCACTGATGGCATTTCAGGTTGAGAGTTCGAGCTTCCACTAAAACTTCCATCTGAGGTTGTTGTGGTACTGGATGAAGAATCCAATCCTGGTGGTGCTACAATATTATCTGTGCCATGCAGCTGAGGAGTACTGGTAGTCAGCTGTTCATTATTCCCAAGGTTGACTCCCTCTGGTACCTCGGCATTTAACTGTTTGGTATCCTCTCCATCCATGTTTAGTATTTCCTGAAGATGTAAATATGAACTTACTATTAGTCTTCACAAAAGAGAAAAATAATTAAATAAATAAATATGTAAGCAATTATTTAATGTAGGATTGGTTATGCGTGTGCATGTGTGTATGAGTTATTCTGCAATAGGCAATTGTCACAACATATATTTCTCATTTCTGACATTATTCTTTGCCTGCACAGATTATATCATGTAATTTTTGTGATAGAGTCATTAGATTTTCTTGTAAATGTATACCTAAGTACTACATGTTACATCACTTTCTAAAAATTAACTTTATAACACAATTCCAAGCAAAATTATGCAAATAAAATTGTGAATTCTAGTGGAGCCCACCTCCTATAATGCTCCTTAAATTGGTTATTTCAGTGTTCCACAAGAAAAGATGGAGTTTCAGCTTAGAACTCCTATTACAGTGCCATATCTAATAACTTTTCAGATTTATGTAAAGATTTAGGTATTGATGGATTCCCCTTACTCTCAATTATCCAATATCATAAAATTATGCTGCAGACAACCCTCCCCCATTTCTTGTCCCCGACAGCAGGGGAGGGCATGAATGGTACCTGGGAAATTCTAAGACACTTTTCTTCCATAGCATTTCCATTACAAACTAATAATAAGGGTAGCACACAGGATGTAAAACTAGAAAATTCCAGGCACTCCACACATACTCTTCCCGCAGCAAGAAAAATTACGAGAAAGAGAGGAAGCAACAAAACAGCTGAAGAGAATTGTAGAGGACGACATGAGTGAGGAAAATCAATTGAGCCATTGGAAACTGAACTTGGGTGTGATGTTTCAAAAAACACTAGTGACCAGGTTATTAGACCCAATGAGATCTGTAACAGTTAACCATATGACAATAAAAGCTGGACATGAGTTCAGTCATGGCTAGGCTGTGTATAAGGTGTTGTTTTGCCTTTAACATGTAAAATATTGTGGCAGTAATGATAAGAATACCTGATAGTGGTTACAATTCCTGCCAACAATGATAACAAGGAGTTGATGACTTGCTTATTGACACTGTAGCTTTATTGGTTAATATAAGAAATTATTGGCGTGTGATTGTGTTATTTGCCAGGGCTTCTTTCCTGCCAGAACATATGAGGTAAAGATTTTGTAGACCAGGTGGGGGGTAAGGGGAGAGGTGAACCAGCCTATTTACAATGAATGCCCTTCACAGTAACTAATTACTGAAAGTTTAACCCAATGGTGACAGGTGAAGAAAACAAAAAAAAACAAAAAAACTACACTCCGGCGAACCATGGCAGCGCACCAACTTTGAGCACATGACTTTGGTACATCACGCCGAATCACTGGCTTGCCACGCTCTGGCGTGCTGCCGCGGCATACAGCCGGACGCCAGTTTTTGAGCGGTTTGTTTTCACGCCTAGCTGCTTCACCCATCGTGAAGGGGTTAAAACATGACAAGAGCTTTCACCCGAAAGTTAGCTGTCATTTCCAAATTTACCACATTGTCTTTTGCAGGGGTCTGTGCCCCCTGCAACTGACCCCCAACTCCTGCAATTGAAGATAAGGAATCCTGTATGCTGTGTGGTGCAGCAGTAGCAATCTTGTCTAGCAATCTTGCTGACCTGTGTTCAAATCCCTTGCTGCTAGTGGATGGTAACCCAGGCTACTCCTTGCACACAGGGGATAACTTTGAAGCAAAATGAAACAGACAGTATGTCACACCTAGAATATCCATTGTAACAAATGGAATCAAATTAAACCCTTGTATTCATGGCAGGGTAGAGTGTATGACCAATATGCAGTAGCCCCTGCATTTATCAGTATAGTGAGGAATTATCTTTCATCATGGTGTTATATTATTATCAGTTTACCACGCATGCCCTTACCTGCTATAGGGGGCCTAGAATGTGGGGGTTTGGGGGTTTTGCAGAGAAATTCCTACATATATATGTGAGAAGTATCAATTGCTACCAGAATTGTTGCGATCAGTTATGAATAGGTACTGTGGGAGATTACCCCATATCTTAGTGATTATTGTGTCCTTACAATGTCAAATCTCCCGTTGAAAACATACATGCGCAAAAGGTTATTGTACAGAATAGTGAAAATAATTACCAAAAGATGTAAAAGTATAATAAAACTAGAAGAATCCATTACATACGTGAATTCTGAAAAACAAACGCTAATAATGACAAAATGAGCGTTCTCACAAGCGCGCAGCAATAAATGGACTACTTGATGTCTGGCAGTAATGAGTTACGTATTACATTTGTTTTAATCCTCAAGAGGTAAACATGGATGGGGACTTAGAAAAATGAAGAGTTGAGTATCTCTCTTCTCTGTTCTGTATCTCCCTAATTTTTGATTTGCACATCTTTAGCCATAGCTGAAAAGTTTCTTAGTTTACATCAAGGCATCCACTCCATACACTTACTTCACTGTACCCTTGACTGACATATATGGAATTAAGTCTTTCGAACTTACATCCTTACTTCCATAAATTTGCTTGGACTTGTTTCACCGTTCATTCTCTGTGCCCCGACCTTCCTTCCGGGTAATGAGGATGACGTCCCTCCCACCCCCCCGACGCCCGCACGCGATCTTCCTCGACCCTAGCCATCGACCCCAAAATTGTTGGTATCGGCTGAGCGAAGTTTTGCGAAATACATGCCAAAATGAGCCCCGTTTTGAGAGCCGTTGGTAGCTACTTTGTACGATTCAACCGGCTCAATCCTGACAATGCAAAATGATGAGATAAATAACCGGGAATCCAAGTCATAAAATCTGAAAACAAAATATTGCAATAACACCCATGATAACATTTACTTTTACATCAATAATAATAATATCAATGACTTACCTACTATATTATTGGCATGAGTAATGACGACCTCCCAAATCCAATACTTTCCCCTCAAATTGGTCAAAATCCCCAACCTCTGTGACGCGGCCTCTGCTTTGTTTACAAGCGGGTGTCGGCGACGCGCCACCCGCCGCCGCAGCCTCTCCTCGGGCGCCAAGTTTGATTGCAGGAGAGAGAGGAGGCTACCTTGTTCCGGGATTGCGTGCGTGTAAGTCTCTCTGGATATAAAGAATGAATGAAAGAATATATGTAAATTATAAATTCATACACACACCCATGTATGTTTATATATATGTATGTATGTATGGGTATACACACACACACACACACACACACACACACACACACACACACACACACACACACACACACACACACACACACACACACACACACATATATATAGTATAAAAATATAAAAATATATATAGACAGACACACACAAATACATAAATGTGTGTGTGTGTGTATGTGTGTGTGTGTGTGTGTGTGTGTGTGTGTGTGTGTGTGTGTGTGTGTGTGTGTGTGTATATATATATATATATATATATATATATATATATATATATATATATATATATATATATATATATATGGTCGAACTGCCCAAGCCATGGCCTCCTAGGTCGTCCCACGGTCCAGGGTTATCTCGCAAAGTGACAACGTGATGGGCAGGGTCATCCATAGGGAAACAAGATAGGTGACCATATAGCCTAAGTTGGCGATCCTGGATTATGCAGGTAACAGGTCTTGTGGCTATGATCCATCGTAGGGACTTACAAAAGGCATCAAGACGAGATTCCAAGGTACTAGATAGTGTCCAGGTTTCGCTACCATACAGCAAAACTGGCAGTATCAAGGCCCTGAAGACATTAGCTTGGTCCTTCTGAATAGGTACTAACGTCTCCAAATGCTCTTGTTGATCAAGTTTATGGTTCCTGCTGTCAGAACAATCCGTCTGCCGACTCCTTGGTCTGATAGCCTAGACATGGACTACGCTAACAAGGGAAATAAAGCTCTCTGTCACTTTAACGTCCTCACCGCAAGTATGTATCGACTGGACGGGTTCCCCTAACAGGCCCCCAAATTCCTGGATCTTGGTCTTGGTCCAGACCTCTAGGCCCCAGGGTTTCGCCTGATTGCTAAATACATCAAGAGTCGCCACCAGTGATTCCAGAGACCCAGATAGAATAGATCATCGCCTGGAAAGTCTCAGATACTGCCTAGTGTTGCTCAACACTGACTTTGGATAGTAGCTCTGCCCATTATCCAGTCCATGCAAGTGTTGAAAAGTGTTACTTAGCCTTGCCTCACCCCTGAAATGACAGGGAAGAAGTTCGACAGGCCTCCATCACACTTAACAGCACTTTCAGTAATAGTATGTAGGATTGCCATAGAACTAATAATCGATGACAGAATTCCCCTTAGTCTCAGGATCTCCCATAGCGATTTGCGATACACCAAGTCAAACACTGAGATCAATGTAGGCTGCGAGCAGACCACGACCGAATACATAGTTCCACAGTAACTTAAAGTGCTTGGATGCGGTCTATTGTGGACTTGCCAGGAGAGAATCCAGACTTCGGTGCCTAAGTACGTGGTCACGGATCTGTTTCAGAAGGATGTGGGTGAAAACCTTGCCCGGTATACTGAGCAGTATGATCCCAAGGTAGTTGATATAGCCCCATCAATCCCCTTTTCCCTTCTAGAGATGGATGGCCACACCCCTCAACAGGTCAGGGGGAATGAAACCAAGCCTGCATGCAAGCCCCGTACCATAGGTTCACCACCAGCTTTTAACAGCTCAGCAGGGATATCACATATACTTGCACCTTTCCCACACTTCAGCTTAGAGATCGCCTCCCTAACTTCAGTTAGGGTAGGGATATCTTGCTGATGGGTGGGTCCTGCACAGGTATTTTGATACCACTTATATCCAGGCTAGCTGCTGGAGGGACCACCTGGTACACCTGTTCAAAATACTCAGCCCAACGTTCATGAACTCCAACATGATCTAAGATAATCTGTCCATCCACTGAACATACTGCAGTCATCTATGAGGAGGGCTTAGAGATCAGTTTCTCTGGGCTTGGTAGGTAGTACGAAGGTTATTTACCAAGAAATGGCCTTCAAACTCCTAAGCAAGGTTCCTGATGAACTGTTCCTTGTCCCTTCTCAATAGTGTCCAAACCCTGCACAACAGGGATGGCGTAAGTCCTGATTGCCATTCAGCAAAGCCATGCAACATTCTTCTGTGGCCTCCAGTGTCTGCAGTGAGATGAAATTCTGCCTTGCCCTTGGGCGTTTCGTACTTGAAGGTCTCCCACAGAGCTACTGGATCCATCAGGTTATTAAGTCCTGTGAATCGGTCGGACACTGCCATGACGAACCTCTGGCCGCACTTACCCTCTCTCAGTCTGACGACGTGAAAAATTCTAGAGTGGTCACTGGAGGGACGAGGAGTTTGAAGTGGACCC